ATTTATTGCCCTTTTACTTAAACTGTTTAGTTATCAAACATTGCAGTCCACGTAGTTCAGTCATGACAAAAACTAACAACTCATTAAAATAAACACAGGCATCGAGAAACATGACATTATTTCCATCCAAGGACGAAAAACATAAGAGCACAGCATAGAAAAATCATGTACACAAGTCATCCTTATGAATGTGGAGCCTGATCCTTTCCTGCCTTATATTTCACCCTGTGGCTTATAGCTGTGGGTATGAGATATAAAATGCTACCAAACCAGACTTTGTGTGGGTATAGATGATTAAGAAAAGTGTGGAAAATGATGAACCAGGCTTGCTCTGTATGAAGTTTCAAGGAACTTGAACTGATAAAACAGACTTGCATGGGAAATTCTTCAAGACCTCAGTAAACTACATTTTTACCAACACACAGTATTCATTGTATATTTGTGAAAGTCTGTGCCCCCCAAACTCCGCTTAAAGATGCAGCAGTGCTCAAAAATGCACTAAGAATATACATTTTTTTCTAAATAAGAGCAACCAACTGCTCCTGAAGCTCACTGTTGTCCATTTAGCATGACTAAAAATGGGTAGACACTTGTTTAACAAGAACGTTCAACAGTGCAGGAGACATATAAAGCATAATGTGTTCTTGGGGAAGAGATGCCCCCTCACTTGCTTCCTTCAGCCTGTCCTTCAAAGAGATTCCCTTATACTCTTGAAATACAGGGTCATTATCCTTTCAAACCTACTCATTCCCCTTGAAACAGCCCATATTGCCCCATGGGAGAAGTACTCTTAGCTTTCTTGCATCTCTTGAACTGTTGACATGTGAATAAAGAAGATGAGCAAGGTTTACATTTCTTGTGTGGGAAGACCAAAAGATCAGAGTTATGAGACATGTGGAGAGGGGACAAGAGGATTTTGGCTCATGACAGCTGCTGAGAGAGTCTCATGGTGCAGCCCCTCAGGTCCCAGATCTTCCAGAGCAGCAGCAGCAGTGAGGAGAGGAAGTGGCACATGCTGTTGGCAGCATTCAGATTCTTGTGCAAAACCACATTTTGGCTATTCCTCTTCTCTTCTGCCATGGGCAAAATGAGCCAACTCCTACCTCAAATAGCAGCTGCTGTTACGGTAGAATTGTAGAGAATTCCCAGGCTGGAAGGGACCTCGAAATATCATCTGGTCCAACCTTTTGTGGGACAGGAAGCCTAGATGAGATTATGTGGAGCTCTGTCCAATCCCATCCTGAAAACCTCCTACAGATGGACCCACAGGACTTGAGTTCCCTCAAGACAGAGAGATTTTGTCATCTGGGATCCCATCTAGTAAATCAGCTAGAACTCAAGGTATACCCTGTGATAAGACTTGAGCTCCAATCACTAGCAGCCTGACTTGAATGCTATTCAGAGCCTTGCTAAGGGATCTGAAAGCCAGACATGTTCAAAACAAGCTTTTCTCTTCTAGTAGTTTCCATCCCCTCCTTTTGCAATGCAAAAGAATGTCCCTTTCACTACTGAGCTGTGATCCCAGCTGGCACCACGTTCTTTCCATTCTCCCTAGCAACTTTTCATCTTCCTCAGGTTTTTATATAGGACACAATTTATCCTATCTCTTCGTGTGCACTTCTCAGGCTTTCCTTAAGTGTTTTGCATATCCTGAGCCAAGAGCTTCCATTCTGTTTTCTTGCTCTCAGACTGTAATCTGAGGTCTTTATACAAACATTGGCACCACCTAAAAGCATTATAACCCAGCAAATTTGCTGCCACTCAGAAAATACTGCCAATACCACTGGATTCTCCATGTGACTTCAGCCATTCATCCTGCCTTTAGGCTTTTCTTCTGCTGAAGAACTGAACAAAAACTTCAGGCAAGACAGGAGTTTTTAAGATCATCTGACAGTAATAAAGACTGTAATATAAAAAAGTGTAAACCAGACAGTCTTCTCCTTCTGTCTCCACTAGGCTCAGAGAGAGAGTAGTCAGCTCCCGTTGTCAGGACAGTGGCCACACAAGGCAAAATCTCTGTTCACTTCACAAGGAAAATACACCAGATCAGAATTGTGAAAGGTTTTTCTTGTGCAACAGAGAGTTATGCAGTCATTTTCAGGCAGAGGGAAGTGAAATCTGAATTTAAGGAGCATGAAACCCAAATATTGAAAGGCATTAGATATAATCTCTGTGCACTTGGAATCCTAGTGTATATGTGTGTCTGTGGCACAGAATGAGGATTAAGAGAAGAGGAATGAGAAAATAGAATTAATGAAAACTGTAAACCTTACCAGATGTAAAATGCAAGAACTAAAGGTGACCGAATTACGTGACTATTGGTAGTGATAGGATCATAACTTGACTGGTGTATATATTATATTAAGTACTGGGACAAGAGAGACCAGATATATGCACCTCTCTCTTGCATTCAGGCTCTCAACACTGCCTATCAAAACTGGGAATAGCCAGATTAGTGTGACAGCCCTTGCCAACTTCCGAGGGAAAGTTTGTAACTCATTCAGCAGAACACACATCTCCTGGGCACTATGGGAGCCTAATCTTTTTGAATTTGTCAGCTCTTTTGTTTCCACTCCTGTCTCAGACAGTGTGCTCCAAAACTCTTAAAAGAAGCATAGCAGAATGCAGTGCAAAGAAATGAAACCAACGGTTTCATTTCCCTCATGTATCACCTCATGGCAGAAACAACTTACATCTGGGTAGTAGGAAAGACCAATCTGTCATGTGCTACCTGAACACAACTGCCTTTGCCTATGTTGGTTGAGCAGTGGACAGGCCATATGTTACATTTCCACTCATTTCTGAGAATCCACAGTAAAAATAGCATAGGAATAAATGTGTAACAATTTCAGATTCAAGCTAGCCAAAGTTAGTGGTGACTGCAATAAACCACCTGGGCCATGGATGGCTGGGGGAAGGGAGCAGCCTTTGCACTGCAGAACTGTGGTACAGAAGAGAGAGGAGGAGGAGTTGATAACCTGAGCAGCTCTAGGACTTGGCTAAGATTTCTGAGGGCACCTTAAGCACAGCTAAAACCTGAAGCAAGACAACAGCAGCTTACTGCAAGGAAAGCCAAGCCCCAAACATGATTTTTTCCCCCTTCTGTGTAAATAGATCACTTTTCATTAAGTGCTACTGCCTGTGGGAAATCTCACACAACTGGCAGCAGCGAAGAAGATGCAGGGTCACCATAGCAAGTGTTTGGACACATCTAATTCCCATTAATATTTTTGTCTGAAGGAAGGTTATTTTTCCTCCAACCTTCTTCTTCATAGTGTGGAAGTGATTCCCTCTCCCCAAGGAAAGTCTTTTCACAGTGTTTCCTTCTTAGTTAACATCTGTGCAAACTCTATATCCTTGCTTAGACAGGATTTAGCCAATAATTAGTATTAGTGCAGCATTTTGCACTAGCAACTATGACACATGAAATACTTTACTAGGAAATGAGAGCCCCTTCACACTTGGACAAGATAATCGGAGCAATGGACAGCAGCACAGGACAGTGCAGCATGTGCCAGAGCGATGCCACCTCCCCGTTCGCCGTTGGTGGGAAGACCTTGGCGTTTGGGGGCTCTGTCACAGAGAGGTTTTGCAAGGGACAGGAAAATTGTCAAATAACTGGGACATATGTTCACATCTGCAGAGACAGTATCCATTAAGGATTATAAGTGGATCAAATAGGAAATGAAGAAAAGTACTCTCTACTAAAGCAAAGACAAGTTATTTGTTTGTCAGTCCCACAAGATATTTTCTACTATAGAAAGAAAAAATATTTATTTTTACTTTAGATCTACTTTCTCTTTGCTGGACCAAACCATTTCTTTAGGACATCTTTCCCATTGATTATCTCCTTGCCATTTGTTGAAAGAAAAAGACAGAGCAGTGGACTTAACAATTTTTGTGTTTGTGGAGCCACTAAAGCTTGGGCAGAACATTTACTGATGTGTAGCTGCATGTGTGTCCTTGCTAGCGAGTCCTGTCTGTAATTACTAACATGTCAGCACAGATTTTTGAGCCTGAGCTGCCTGCCCAGAGAGTGGAGAGGGTTAGTGACTGCTGGAACCCAATTGAGCCTTTGCAGAAATGCAATGGAAACTGAGCGCAGATTGGTACAACTAATCCCACAGTGAAAGAGCTGGAGTATTTCTGAAATGTGTGCTTTCCTATGCATTGCATTAGAATATGTCTCTTCACAAGACAGAGACACATTTCTGCAGATTTCTATATCTAGGGTGATCAGTGTAATATCCTTTTATAGCAGCTGGAGAGTGATAAGCAAATCTAGGGCACAATTCATCTCATTTCAATTCAGGTGTCCAAACCAGGCCAGATGAATCATGCCTCCAAAAGTTTTGCTTTTGCCACTGACATTTTCATATCTAAAAATGAGAGACAATTAATTCCATCCTGATTGCAATGCAGAAGTGCACAGTGCTAATTTAATGGTCTGAGATATTTTAACAAAAAAGGAACCACATCTAAAGTCATTGATTAGTCTGGAACAGAAGGGTTGATACTCTCAGTATGAATCTCAAATCAGCATAATTCAGAGACAGATGACAAACCACAGGCAACAAAAGTTGCTTCGAAGCATATAAGAAAAAGGGGAAACCCCCTCAACTCTTAATGAAGGGCAAAGATAGACATATTTAAAGTGTAACCTATTACAGCAGCTATTCCACAACAAAACACTTCTTGTCCCTCTCACCACAACGCACTGATCATTGTATGCACTGGACATGCCATCTGTTATGTTATACAGAACATGCTCTGATATGATTGAATTAACAGCACACCAGGGAGAGCAGCTGATCTCTTCACTCATTCACTCATCTAGAAACACAAGAGACTCTCCTGTTCATGTCCAAATCGAAAAAAATCTCTATGCAGTTAGTTACAGATTTGTGAGCGTTATAACTACTCAGTGACTTTATAGTGAACTTTTTGTAATGAACTTATCATTTTTCTGTCCACTGGTGGTTCCTTTCCTTTGGAGAAGGATGCTGTCAGAAGGTTACCTTTATGGAATTGCCTACCTTTGTGAAGACCTGAACCCTGGGCTCTACAAGAAGAGTTCAGCTGATGAAGTGGTGTATGAAATGAGGTCCATTAATTACTCTTCCATGGAGGAAGCTCAGGGGAAGAGCTTCCTTCAGAGATGCAGGTCTGCTGGCAAGTGCATTTCCTCAGTCTGCTCTAGGGGTAGCAGGCCCAGCAGAAGGCAGAAGGATAACCTCCCACAGCCTGCACAGCGTCCTGTGCCCCCAGGGCAGCCAGCTCCAGCCACACACACTGGCCAAGGGCTGACAAAAAAAGACACTTACCTGGTTCCACCTTCCTGCAAAAGCATCTGCAAGAACTACAATGATTTGCATATAGCTGGGGACTACGTGGTGCCGATGAGCTCAGTCACGACAGACTTTGCTTGTGACAGTGGCATAGGGCCCTTCCTGGAGTCCTCAGAGATCCCTCCCCCCCTGGAGTCCATGAGGGTCCCCAGCCCCAGCGGCTCCAGCCGCAGGCCAGGCCAAGGCTACTCGTCGTGCTGGCGCCTGGCGAGCCTCGGGGCCCACCAGCAGCCTCTGTCCGACTCTGCCCTCAACAACTACCTGGAGCAGAAGCTGCTGGAGCTGTACCAGCAGTACATCATGGACAGCACGGCACACAGGGCATCCCCCACCCAGATCCTGGCCTCCGAGCTCATCATGACCAACGTGGATCAAATCAGCACGCAGATTTCTCGGGAGAGGAATATGGAGACCACCAAGGCCAAAGACATTGTCATTAGTCGCTTCTTGCGAATAGCCAGCGAGAAGATTTCCTCAGAAATGAGCACGCCTACTCTGCACATTTCCCAGTATAGCCACACAAACTCTTAGTGTTTGAATGTCTGATCTTAGAAAACTTTTATGTTCTGCAAAGTCAATTTTGAGTTTCTCAAGATAAATTTCTGCTTCAGAAAAATGCATTCACTATCTACCACTTAAATTAAACACTCCAGTATGTATCAAATAAATAAAAGCTCCCTGTATTGTGCAGCCCCTATTGTGGACCAGATGATTTTATTTTAGTTTTTTTAATTGGGCCTCAGGCATTAAAAAAGCTGTGTAGAAAAATGACTAACAGAATATGACACTCTTCCAGGTGCTCAGGTGTCCTCTTTCTTCCCCAAATGCTTGATATATCATTTCAAACTTCCCCTCTCTGGTGTCTGCCATCCTACCCCTGGGTCTGTGAAGGCTTACACTTATGCAAGGACAAGCATAAATTGCCACAGAAATACAGAATTTAGGATGGCATCTAGTTCGTATCCCTGCCCCAAATGGCTTTACTTATGACAGCCCTCACAAAAGTTTTTGTAATTTGTTCTAGAAGATATTAAGCGATTGACACTTTATGGTTTCTTTATAATAATCCTAATTATTTAATTGGTGTCTTCCTGTTCGAGTTACCATCCCTTCTTGTGAAGCACAGACTCTGTTTCCAGACAGACATAATCAGCAGGAGTGTGTGCTTGTACCTGTGTGGTTTGCACTGAGCTGAACCATTATTACCACGGATCCTGTTGCTCTGTGATCACAGACACCACCTCTGCCAGCTGCTCACAGACCTGCAGCTCTGGAGTGGTCATGTGAGGGCAGCAGTGACAGTAAAGGGAGAAGAGGAAGGAGAATTCCCCCTTGTTAAGGGAATTGCATGTAGAAAAATAAGGGCTAGTCCAAAGTCCGTTGGATTAGTGTGAACAGAACCTTGGAATGCAAAGGGAAGCTGAAATGGAACAGCATGGCTAACCACTTTTTCTTAGGATTGTTGCTGTGTATCCTAGGTCATGTGAACCTCATGTATTTCTAATAGAAGGTCCTATTTTGTAGAATTTCACCAAGTCCTGAAAAAGAAGAAAGAAAAAAATGAACAGAGCTGCCCCATGGCAAGGATAGGACCTACTCTGAGTCTGTATAATGTAAATTGTATTGACAATGCCAATCCATTGTTGGTTGAAGTTCTAAATATCAGTGTAATATAAATACTAATTTATACTAAATAGTTATAAAATGTTTTCACGTTATTGTTTCCACAGTGTTGGTTTGGCCTTTGTGTGCTTTTTCTTTTTGTTTTTATGTATGTTTCAACAACAAATGTAAGGTTGCAAACATGTCAGTTTATTCTATTGCTACTTGTCTTTCCAGAGATTACTCAGCATATTTTCCTGTTTGTGCAGGTATCCAAAAAGCAGTTGCCATAAGAACCAGACAGTGTACATCTGTTGCCATAGCAGCTTACCCAAATACTATTATTCAGCAGTTCAAGATAGGTAATTTCTGGCATACAAGATTTCTATAGTGATCAAATGCTATTTACAAATAGAAAAAAAATGAGGTCTTTAAGAGAAAATAATACTCATAGTAATGCATAGGCATGCATGTGTGTTCTGCAGACAAAATCCATTACCAACAGATCTCTCAAATCTCTTGAAACTCTCACAGAATAAAAGGACCCACTAGAATCTATGAAAGTGGCTTGTAGAGGACAGCAAAGGTAAGGAAATGTCGATGTTTTTATGTCCTACAGATACATATTCAGGCTTTTCAAAACATGGGGCTTTTGTTTGTGCCTATTGACATTCACATCACTGAATTTTAGCAGCAAAAGATGTAGTGGAAAGCAACATGCCGAGTTGAATGCATAAATCAATACCCTCGCTGAAAGATCTGGCTCCTTCATCAGAGAATGCAATCGATTCTTACACTCAACTCTCCTCACTCCACAGACCATGTCCTGAGCAAAGAAAACAGCATTTTATTGTCTCTTACTCAGTAATCCAGATCTTAATTTCCCCCCCAGAGCTATGGGCAGCACCTGGTCACCACGGCCTCCCTTCTCAGAACTGATGCAGGAAACTGACTTGGCATTGGGGGAATCCTCTCCTGCTGAGCTCCAGGGATGGGTTTGTAGCCCGGGGTGTGATGGGTGGGACACCTGAGATCCAGCAGCTCCTGGCAGGTGGTCCCTGCTGCGTGTGAGTGTGTTGAGAGTTGTGGTTGAAGGTGGTAGAACTGATGGGTTGGGACTTCAGTCCTGGCCTGAGAGGTGTGGGGAGGTGCTGGAGAATCAATGCCCTGGGGCAGGCTGTGGTTGTGCTGGGGAGTCATAGTCACAGAGTAATTCAGACTGGAAAAGACCCTTGAGATCATCAAGTCCAGCTGTGAACCCAGCACTGCCCACCTCACCACGAGTCTCAGTTGGGCATCACCTTCCTGAATGTCATGAGGATCTTGTTTTGAACTGGAACTTGTAAAGGTCTTCTTCACATGGGAAGACAGGGCACCTCAAGCTGTGCCAGGGGAGGGTCAGGTTGGCCATCAGGAGGAATTTCCCCATGGTAAGGGCTGTCAGGCTCTGGAATGTGCTGCCCAGGGAGGTGGTGGAGTCACCACCCCTGGAGGTGTCCAAGGAAGGACTGGACATGGCACTCAGAGCTCTGGGCTGGTTGACAAGTCAGGTTGGGCTTGGTGGTCTTGGAGGCCTTTTCCAGCCTCAGGGACTCTGGGATTGTGATCCTGTGACCAAGCCCTGCCCCTTCCCCTTCCCTCCTTTCCCCACTGCTACCAGCACTGACCCCTGAGCTCTGCCTTCTCCATCAATGTGATCAGAACTGGCTTAACCCCAAAGCACAAACATCTCCT